ATATATATATATATATTATATATATATATATATATATATATATATATATATATATATATATATATATATATATATATGTCGTACCTAGTAGCCAGAACGCACTTCTCAGCCTACTATGCATGGCCAGATTTGCCTAATAAGCCAAGTTTTCCTGAATTAATATATTTTCTCAAATTTTTGTTTTGTGAAATGATAAAGCTACCCATTTCATTATGTATGAGGTCAATTTGTTTTTATTTGAGATAAAATTAACGTAGATATATGACCGAACCTAACCAACCCTACCTAACCTAACCTAACCTATCTCTATAGGTTAGGTTAGGTTAGGTGGCCGAAAAAGTTATGTTAGGTTAGGTTAGGTAGGTTAGGTAGTCGAAAAACAATTAATTCATGAATACTTGACTTATTAGGCAAATCGGGCCTTGCATAGTAGGCTGAGAAGTGCGTTCTGGCTACTAGGTACGACATATATATATATATATATATATATATATATATATATATATATGTCGTACCTTAGTAGCCAGAACGCACTTCTCAGCCTACTATGCAAGGCCCGATTTGCCTAATAAGCCAAGTTTTCCTGAATTATTATATTTTCTCAATTTTTTTTTTATGAAATGATAAAGCTACCCATTTCATTATGTATGAGCTCAATTTTTTTTATTGGAGTTAAAATTAACGTAGATATATGACCAAACCTAACCAACCCTACCTAACCTAACCTAACCTATCTTTATAGGTTAGGTTAGGTTAGGTAGCCAAAAAAGTTAGGTTAGGTTAGGTTAGGTAGGTTAGGTAGTCGAAAAACAATTAATTCATGAAAACTTGGCTTATTAGGCAAATCGGGCATTGCATAGTAGGCTGACAAGTGAGTTCTGGCTACTAGGTACGACATATATATATATATATATATATATATATATATATATATATATAATATATGTCGTACCTAGTAGCCAGAACGCACTTATCAGCCTACTATGCAAGGCCCGATTTGCCTAATAAGCCAAATTTTCATGATTTAATTATTTTTCGACTACCTAACCTAACCTAACCTAACTTTTTCGGCTACCAAACCTAATCTAACCTATAAAGATAGGTTAGGTTAGGTTAGGTAGGGTTGGTTAGGTTCGGTCATATATTTACGTTAATTTTAACTCCAATAAAAAAAACTTGTCCTCATACATAATGAAATGGGTAGCTTTATCATTTCATAAGAAAAAAATTAGAGAAAATATATTAATTCAGGAAAACTTGGCTTATTAGGCAAATCGGGCCTTGCATAGTAGGCTGAGAAGTGCATTCTTGCTACTAGGTCCCCACAGACCAGTTTTAGACCAGGCCTATTTCTACCCCCAGGAAACAGCCCCTGACAGCACTGCTATGAAACAGGGGTATCAGGGTGAAAGACACTATCCAATGTTCGTATCCACTCAGCTGTGTGGTGGTCTAAATGGAAGATTATTCATGTGTAGATTAGAACTGAGGATAGTCGTGACCCCTGCAGGTAACCCCACATATTGACTAGATGACCATCGTATCCAAAATAACACAACTAAGTCAACAAGAATGTTGTTTCGTTATATATATAATATAATCATTAGTATACATTATTAGTTTAGATGTGAGAGACATTTTTTTATATAAAATAAAATAATAATGTCACTATCAAATTCCTTATATATTATAATATTTATAATAGTTTTAATTGTGATCTTTTCAATTATATATTTATATTATTCAAGAAATAGGTCAACAATTTCAACTCAGCATCCTCAACTGTCAATGAATTTCATTACAAAAACTAATACTAAACCTGCTGGTCTGTATGTTGTCTTTGAAAGTAAGTATTATATGGACCAAAATCGTGGTTACGATATGATTTCTCATGTAAATACAGTTAATTGTAATGATGATACAACGATTCCTAATGATGAAAATAATAATGTATTTTGTAAATTTGATACATCCATATTTGATCAATTTAGAAAAGAGAATTGGTATTTTAATACCTTAACACCGATAATTTTATTATCTATTCGTAATCTTCCAAATTTTGTACCTATTGTATATGAGAATATTGAAGATCTTCCATCCTCTGCAGATCATGAGATTACAAGCCTGCGTGAAAATATGAAGAAAAGCTCAATTGCTAATGGTAATAAGTTACCAAAATGTGTATGGGTATCTTGTTCACATATTTGGGTTAATAGTCCAAACAAATATACTCCGCAAGGTTTTCCTGTTTATTATTTTCCAACCAAGGAACATGTAGATGGATATTATGCCCCACTTCTTCCTATTCAATTGAAACTTAGCCCAGGTGAAAATATTATAATATGTAAAATGTGGGCAAAAAATATTAATATAATGAGTGATCCATTTGCTGTGGTTAAATTTAGGATCACGGTTAAAATGTAGGATTTATAATACTATAAAGCATGATATAGTAACCTGTTTAAATATTAAAACTAAAAAGATAATTATATAAAAAATAAGGTATGTAGATTTGTTCTTGTGGAACAAATTATTCATTCTACTTTTGTATCAACACATCTTTATATATTTCTGAGCTTATAATATACAAAGAACTATTTTTTTTATCATTTTCAGGTAATTATAAAGTGATGGTGATATTGGTTCTATTTGTTCTTCAAGATCCCAACTGTCAGCAAGGGTGGCGCAGTTGCTTTTTTTTTTTGTAAACCATGAAAAAGCAATATGAAATCTACCCCAGAAAATATTCTGTTATAATACTAACAGCCCCCAAAAATATCATTCAAGTGTGGGATAAAATTGTCATATGGAGAAATAATTTAAAAATAAAAGTGGAATTTTTACAAAACTTTAATCCAACAATCAACTTGTATCATTTAGTGGAAAATTCATTTTTACTTATATTAGATAATGTTTCATCGATAAATGTAAGAAAAACATTTGCCGACGTATTAATTGATCTTCAAAACAGTGAAATAATTATTATAAAATGTGCTTCAATTACTTGGCCCTCAATAAATAAAGTGGAAAACTTTAATTTAAAACATTTTGAAGATGTTAAGATTATTTTAAGTATGAATGACTGGGAACGAAATTATGTATTGGTAAATAAGTACCTTTCATATGAATTTGCAGACATTAGTATTAAACCTCATTTAAAATCTTTAAATATTTTAACAGAAGATATAGGGAGTATCAATTCAGAAAAATTGAGAGCAAATCTACTTGATACTTGGAACAATGAAATACCCCCTATATACCCTTCTGAAGTTCTCCCAGATAGTGAATATACTGTTACTGAAGTAAATAGCAACAAACGCAGCAGTGAGTCACAATCAGGTTCAATTGGCATGCCTTCAAAACATAGGAAGTATTACTGCCTGGTGTTATAATGGATACTGCTCATTGGGAAGCGTGTCAAAGAAAAGAATATATATGTGTGTGTATGTATATGTATGTATGTATATATACCTATTTTAGTTTACATAAAATATAGGATGGAAGAACATGTACGTAGTAAATTAATCTCTTTTTTACTCAAAATTCAATAATTTCATTCGTTTATTATGCTATGATAGTGAACATAATGTTAAAATAAATATTTTATTTATTTATTTATATATTTTTTTCAGATGATTGAACCCTTTTTGATTAAAAATCCAGGACGTTTTACATTGTTCCCAATTAAAAATCATGATATCTTTAAAATGTATAAGAAGGCGCTAGCATCATTTTGGACAGTTGAAGAAGTAGACTTGTCAAAGGATATTGTAGATTGGGAACAGAAACTTAATGACGAGGAACGTCACTTCATTTCACATGTTCTAGCATTTTTTGCCGCATCAGATGGTATCGTCAATGAAAATCTTGTTGAACGTTTCTGCCAAGAGGTACAAATACCAGAAGTGAGGTGTTTTTATGGTTTTCAGATTGCCATGGAAAATATTCACAATGAAATGTACAGTTTACTTATTAATACATACATAAAAGATTTACAGGAGCAGAACAGATTATTTAATGCTATTGAAACGCTGCCAGCTGTTAAGAAAAAAGCTGATTGGGCTCTAAGGTGGATTACCAATAGAACGGCAACATATGCCGAACGCATTGTTGCCTTTGCTGCAGTAGAGGGTATTTTCTTTAGTGGTTCATTTGCTGCAATATTTTGGTTAAAAAAACGTGGTTTAATGCCAGGTCTAACCTTCAGTAATGAATTGATTTCTAGAGATGAAGGGTTACACACAGATTTTGCTTGCTTGATATTTAAGTACTTGATTAATAAGCCTGATCAGAAATATGTATATTCTATCATTGATAATGCTGTGAAGATTGAACAAGAATTTTTAACAGATGCCTTGCCAATCAAACTTATTGGTATGAACTGTGATCTAATGGGGAAGTATATAGAATTTGTGGCTGACCGACTTCTCTTTGAACTCGGTTTTAAGAAACTTTATAATGTAGAAAATCCATTTGACTTTATGGAAAATATCTCATTAGAAGGGAAAACTAATTTTTTTGAAAAAAAAGTAAGTGAATATCAAAAATATGGTGTAATGAATTCAGATCAATACAGTGTTTTTACATTAGATTCAGACTTTTAGTTAATTAGTTGATGGATGGAATAGAACATGTTTTTTTTTATATAGAATATAAATAATTTAATATAAAAATAAAAATATATATCTATTATCTTTTACTATTTTACTTATCATATTTATATTTTGACTTGATGAATAATGAATTAAATACCTTACATTCTCTCTTTCCACTAATTACAAGACTACAAAATATGAGGTATGTAATTATGGACATAATAACAAAACCATAATCTTCTTTATAAAATATCAACATATCACATGATTACCAAGCAGTACTACTATCGTCCGATGTAAACACCAAGTTTGGTTATCGCCATTGAATCAACTTTTCTATTTTATATTCACCAATGAATATAATTCAAAGAGAGAAATGAATCATTACATTAAGTTCCATGCAATATGCCGGTGATACAATATATAAGAGCCTCCGTATCCAGTCCAGTCAACCAGTATGCCAGAATCCTGTTCAGTAGTAATACGGGCTACTGTGTAATGGAGCTATCCAAGGAATCTTGTGGTGTAAGTACCTAAAAGTTATTTTATGATAAGCATGATGAAGCTTTGGACACTATATTATAATAAATAAATAAATAATGTCTCAGGTGCATTTGTGATGAAATCTAATCTTTCTAGGATGATATTAGCGATATCAGTGAGGGAGCCGAAGAGAAGAAGATAAAAGAGAAAAAAGATACTACTTCAACTAGCAAGTCTATTATTGTTAAAATAGAAAACCATATCCATTCCAATGATGAAAATGTGGCTTTGAGAAAGTTGGTTAATATAACGCCTGAGACTATATCAAAAAAACAACGTTATTGTGAAATTAATACTCAAAGTTTATTACAAATATTAGAATGGTTTGCTAACCACGATGGAACCAATGTGTTGCTGTATGAATTTGCCCACAGTGCATCATGTCAAAAAAAAACTTGTACCCCGATTTGTCTAATGTTTCGCCGGGTTCGTCATCATGTAGTAGTTTCTAGACATCCACATTGTTCGGTGTTAATCTTATATTCAACCCTCTTGCATACACATGTGTCTTCATGTGTTAATGATGATTGTGGGTTGCCTGCTTGTCATAGACTGAAAACCACCAGATCAACTATAAAGTTTCGTCTTGCCAAAAAGAAGTGTGGTTGTTAACTCAATGTTGTCTGCTGGATATATATTATTGTTAAAATTTTTAATTCGACCTATTAACAGAAGCGCATTATGATATTGATTGAAGTGTTTTTTTTTTGTTTTGTTTTTTCCATAATATTTGACAAACGAACTTCTGTGAAGAAAAGACGCTTTCCTATTTCTGCAACGGAGGCCTGTCGCTGGATATTTATTGATTTGTACTAGTTAGTGATATGTTTTATTGAATGTTTTCTTCATACCACTGACTAGTTAAATTAATATATATTTACAAACATAAGGCAATTGTGATCTGTTGTAGGTCATTTGGTGAGATGGTGTGTTAAATGGTTTCACCATAATGTGTGAGGATTCGATGAACATTGTTTTAATTTCACTGGTCGAATCAAATAGGGGCAATCATCAGTTTCAGATGCTTCACCAACAACCGGGCTCATCATCAATGGCATTACATATTGCAATCTGTGCTCCTTCCTACTTCAATAATGAAAATGATGAGGTCTTGCGAAAGTGGAATCAACTTCAAGCTTTTTGGGGGTTTGGTAAAGGTAAATATGTGGATTTTATTTTTTTTCAATGTGGTAGTGAGTAAACCATTATGGAAAACTTAGTAGATTTGACTAGTTGTTTATAATATTGTAAAATGTATATAATTAAAATAGTATAATTTTATGAATTTTATTCCAGGTTATTATTCGTCCAATATGTCACCTGTAGAGTTCACATCTGAAAATCCATATTGTCGTTTCAAAGTAGTTTGCTATACAAAAATTCCCAATTATCGTAATGAAGATGGTATTGTGCAAATTATAATTGGAAGGGGCCTTTCAGAAGTGGAGTAAGTAATTAATATTCATATACTTGTATAATATTCTAATAATTTTTCAGTGTTAAATATGACTAGGATCCGGGAACATTAAAAAATTTTTTTTTTTTTTTTTTTTTTATTCTTCCAGGGCCTACAAACAGGAAGTTATTTCAGCATTGAGTCTATTATTCGGAGGTAATGAAGTTGTTGTTAATGAAATTTTTGCTGCTGAAGTACCAAACAAAACGAACTTCAGATTTTACATTCAGCAAGTTTTTCCTAATGGTAAAAGAATTTAAAGATTTTATAATGTTTTCCCTAATAATAATTATCATAAAAAATGATTTCAAGTATGGTATTATGCAAACTGCTCTATATTATAATATACCTTCTAGGAGAGATTCAACGTGCATCTACCACCATAGTCATATGTTAAGAGCATCATACAATTCAATTTTTAAGGTAAGCCTAAAGTAAGCCTTATTATAGCTTGCACCAATATATTTAATGGGAATTGATATCAGGTTGGCTTAAATAATCAAATTAGCTTAAAAGGGACATTATTAATGGAACGTTTTTTGATAGACAGACAGAGACAAAAATGCCTACTTTTTCTGTTTCAGAATTTGTTTATTGAACAGATTATTCCAATGTTGACTTTAACTGAACAACAAATGAAGAAATATCTTGATACACCGCAAAGAGGTAAATGATTTTGATATGACCAATCCATCTACTTATCGTGACATAATGACAAAAGTGAAGATATTACGGGGTATTTTTTTCCTACATTTGTGGAATTAAAAATTAAAATAAATTATTTATTGTTTATAGGAATTGATCCAGCATTGTGGGAACTGGGCAAGCAAAAAAATCCTGACCCAAAGAAATTGATACCTGTTGTAAAAGTGGGATTTCAGGAATTACAGAAACAGTTCAAGTATCAAGAAGAATATGGTAATAAAATTCATAATAGTATGAAGAATATTATGGATGATATAAGACAATTAAGTTGTATGCAGACGACAATTAAAGTTACCATTCAGAATTTTAAGTTGAAACAGACAAATATAATGCGCCGAGTTCTAAAATTGGTGTCAGCACAAGAGGTTGAAAGGAAAAAAAATCTACCACTAGAAGAAATAGAGGATCAGATTCGACTGCGATTAGAAAACTTGTATATGCAGCTGCAGGACCTCAAGGGATGTTTGAATGAACTAATGGCTCAGTCTATAAAGCCTGGTAGTTTTCCGCGAGCCCAACGGTATGGACTGGTTGTTGACAAAGTGCAGGATATATTACAATACCTAAAATGGCAGCAGGATGCACTTCAGGCTATAGTTAACATACTTAAGGAAGATATACAAGTGGTCGTTAACATAAAGAAGAACATCAGCTAAGTTTTGAGAGTTAAGGAAATTGGCTAACCGTCAACCAACTTCCCCAAACCACATTCAAACATTGGTAATTAACCCTATCATTGTTTAACACCTCCCTCCACCCTTTCAGGGAGGGTATGATGCTACACTGAATTTTTTTTTGTTCGTAACTAGCAACACACATTGAACTGATGATATTTCACTCTCTCAGGGAGGGTATGATGCTACACTGATTTTTTGTTTGTAACCCGCAACACACACATTGAATTGATGATAGTCAATAAATTAAATTTTAGTCTAGTTCCTTTTTTTTTTTTTTTTTTTTTTTCACATACAATAAGTGCACTCTGCCCATTAGGCAAAGTATTATAATAATTTTGCTAGATATTGATGACACTGACATTTTAACGGAAACTTGAAATAATTGACCTAGAATGTAACAACAATGTTTGTGTTGTCTTACAGGAATAATTTAGTCAAATAAGCACAAACTATAAACTGCCAGCTTAACCAAGAAAGCCTGCCAGTGATTGGTCAATATAAAATATTCAGCGTGTGAGGGTTAATATCAGAGTCAGTCGATTTTGCTCCAGCATGGAGGACACACCTACAATTTCCTCTCCATTAACATGTGGACAGAAACAACAAGAAAGAAGTGATAATAACGATACTAGTGTTGATGAAGAACCATTACCTTCATCATCCACGTCTTTACCTTTGGGACAAAAAGTTAATGAAGGGTGTGAGAGAGAAGAAGAGGTGATACAAAAAAAGGAATTTGAATTAAAAATTAACCAAATGTTGGAAAAAGGTGGGCATGGAAGCCGGAAAATTTTCACTCGAGATAAATTAGCCCAATACATCGAGGAAGTCAAAAATGCTAAATTGAAACTGACTACAAAGACCTCTCATGAATATGATCTATTGTCTCGATATGATGTCAAAAATCTATTTGGGGATGATGTCTTAGTAACCATCGACGAAACTGAACGAAGAATGAAGCGGGGGACAAAGCGTAAACTGACCAGTGACAATCGTCATTCTACTACGGCTGTAACAACAACAACAACAACAGGAGCAACAACAGCTGATCCTGGCCGGATGTGTCGTCGTTTCATACATCAAGGG